CGTCACAACTTTAGTATACGTATTTAGAAGGTCAAGGGAAAGTTTTGTAAGAGCATTTTCATAATCCTTGTGGTGGTATTTTACTCAGAAAAAAAATAAAAAATATAATATAATATAGAACAAAATGAATTACAATGTCTCTCGCTAGTATCTCTCGCTATCACAATGTCTCTAAACGCGATTGCTGCTCAATTCTTTCTGCGCGCACGTAAGCGCCGCGTGCCGGCGTACAGGTAGCAAACTGGAGTTCTCCAATCGAGAAAGCAGATTCGCCGTGGAATTTAAATGCCTACATATTATAATATTTTGGTACTTGAATAATATCATAGAAGTGACTTGTAACAAGCATTTACTAGATACATGCAAGCTTTTGAAAGTAGCAGGTAAAGCCCGAGAATCAGAGAGAGAGAGAGAGAGAGAAAGAGAGAAGGGTGGGTCAATCGAGTAATATGCATAGAAGGCTGAAAAAGAGTCCTATCCAATAAATTGTCCTTTGAGCCGCGCGGCTAATTTGTCGCTTTCTATAGGGTGTAAAGAAGGATAGAGTGAGAGCCGGAGCAGCGAAAAATTGCTAAAGTTTCAATCGACTAAGAATTCAGTCCGAAAACGGTATAAGTCGGATTATTTATAACAATCCGAGTTTATAACGAACATTGTAACCACAACAATGATAAAAATATAAAAAATGAAAAAAGGGAGAGTGAAGTAATAGAGGTAAAATAATGATATGAATCATATTGAATTACATACTACAAAATACCATGATATTACTGCATCGCAAACTACTGACTTCATGCAAATGTATAGTATAAAACGTAATTTACCTTTGTTTCCACTTTTTATTTTTAGATACACGCCTTGCAGACATGGTAAAATTCCGATTGTTGTTTTTCCCTTTCACATGTTTTCTGTTTTTTGCATTTTCACTTCCTTCTTTTTGTTCCATACTCACACAATTATCGCTAGCACAGTAATACGTAAAAATAAAATAATTCAAAAGTTCTAAATATATTTGTAAAGAAAAGATACTTTCTTCAAGGCGAAATAGCCGCGCCTGACAAACCCAGCGCCCCCCCCCCCCCCCCCCCCCCCCCAATCGATATATCGATGGGCAGTGAGGGAGAGCGACATATAGAAAAGGAAGGTAAGAGAACACGTGGCTGAACAGGAAAAGACGACAAATAAAATTAAATAAAACCCAACCAAATAATCGACCTAGGAGGAACCGAGGAGAATAAACCTTAATTGTCGTTTCTCTTTCTTCTAGAGCAACACGTTTTGATTATTTCTCTTGAAAGTCCTCCATACCATCCATTGTCTTATATATTTATATGCACAACAAATGAAAACTCTATTGAAAACTCTATTGCTTTCTTGCGCGTGTTCACCGTTGTGCGGAAAAAAAACTGGTCAACCAGTGTCTTGAGTGGTTGACATCTTGACTGAGAAAGAGCGACAAATAGTGCAAAGAGGATGGATACATGTGTCACATCCCTCTCTGTCTCTTTACAATTACTATATACTGATACATTTATGTGCAATATATATCTATCTATCGATGTGCAAATACGCACAGGAAAGAGTTTTGTATTATTTTGTATATCTACGTTGGGCGTAGCATCAATTTTGTTAATACATATTTCATCTTTCGTTGTGAAACAGTTCTTCTCTACATGTGTTCGAGCGTTCGTTAAAAAATTAAACAATTTATAAAACGTGCCCGATAGGGACCACCGAGGTGTTCTCTTCGGAGAATAAGATAACGTCGAGAAGTGTGAGGAGACGAAAATGTATCGCGTTCAAAAGGAAAGTCAGTCGTCATCAGATCTCAGGCGCGACCGGTCAAATACTTATACTTTTATATCGCGTATTCGGGCCTAAACAATTTTATTTCATTGTAATTACGTAAATTCTTAATAACACAACATCTGATCATCTAAAATCACGTCGTTAACCACCAAATATCAATTAACGTCTCTCACGACGAAAAAACATTATTTAACGTCTTTCACGACGGCTGGACGTCTCTCTGCGCAAGAGACTCCAACGGAACCTGGTTTCCGTACCATCTTAATTGGACGTCCTTTCGCACGAGAGACTCCAACGGGAACTGTTTCCCGAAAAATCTGTTATCACGCGATTAGTCAATCGCTGATGGGCGCCCGACCTCGTGTACACGAAATCATTCAAAACACGCGCGACACACTCACACACAAAACACACAATTCAAATTCAAGGGTTTTTTACGCCTTCGGGCTTTTTCCCTTTTTCAAATAACAAAATCAAGGGTTTTTTATGCCTTCGGGCTTTTTCCCTTGTTTAATAGGAAAATAAATTATCACTTTTTATACCGGATCAATCTTGACTCGTAATTTAATAAACCAGCTTCGATTCATCCTGAATATCCTACCAAAACGTAACATAATTACGACAGTTCCCCGAATTTCCATCCGGTCTTATCGCTCTCGAATGTTTAGAAAACTTGAGAGCCGAAACTAAAGGGGGAACGAATTCGAGGAGAGCTGAAATCGAGAGGACAGGCATTCTCGTTCCAGCCTTCTTGTATCTAACATACGAAAACGCTTCGGTTGAACGGTTTCGATCATACAACATGGTTCGGGGTAAAGGGATACCCCGCAAAACTGCGTGGTACCAGCACGCATTTTCAAACTTTTGCGCGCTGAACATTTTGCGCGGGCCAATGACGCCCCACTCGGTCCTTCGTGTAAGTGAGATACAAAATAACGAGTGAGTGAGAAAGACGATATGGGTCCGAGCAACCCTTGGTGCTACCAGGGGTCCGAGCATCAGAAAGTCAGAGACCTTCAAACACGAAATATAGTAAGTACCTTCACGCAGACTATCCCTGTAACTTTTACTGTTCTATGTGTTGTGTGAAGTGCGATTTTTCACAAAGTCCATGACTTGCTCACGCACATACATCCGTGTTTTCTATTTACTGTGCATCTTCTATTTATTATTTACTGTGCATATTTTTAGGAAAAAATGGATGTTACAACGGCTGAAAGCCAACCAACAAACGAAACTGTACAAACAGAAAATCGAGGGCACAATCACGTAAGTACCTTCACGCTCACTATCTCTATCACTTTTATTTTTCTATGTGTTGTGTGAAGTTCGATTAGTTATGTTCTTACATGAAAACTCGTAATTTTCGGAAATTTTAATTACTTACAGTGAGTGTAAAAAGTGTTTAGACAGAATACCTCGGTTAAAATTGGACCAAATGACTTGAGGTTTTTTCAGAAGTTATACAAATTAATTTACTAAGATTGTGCTTTTGTCGTTTGAAAAAATTACAATTTGTTGAAGTCGTGAAAGAAAATAGTAAAAGGCAATTTTTTTATCTGAGTTTGCAATCAAAATTTAAAATACGACATTTGTAAATTTAACTGTGTTATGTGTATGCTGAAAATTTCATCGAGATCGGTCAATGTACTTAGCAGTTATAAGTAATTACAATTTCCGAAAATCGCGAGTTTTCATCTAAAAACATAACTAGTCACGTACTTAGATGAAAAGTCGCGATTTTCATAAATTTTAATTACTTGTAACTTCTAACTGCATCGATTGATCTGAATGAAATTTTCAGCATGCACATAACTTATCTCAATCTACGAAAGACATATTTTAAATTTTCATTATATGTAGACTCACATAAAAAAGTTGAAACATTACCATTCACTATTTTGGATGAAGTTTCGAATACGACCGGTCGCCGATCAAGATGGAATTTTAAGGGGGAGGGGGGAGGTGGGAGGGGATCCCAAATATAAAGTGGTATCTTCGGCTTCCTATTAATTTCCGAGATATTAAATAAAAACTTTCGCACAATACATAGAATTTTTCGTATACAGACGTAACTAACACAACCGTCTTTGCTGTAGTAAGCTGACATCGTCAAGTGCCGAACAGCCGTTGACACAGCAGGGGTTCCAACCTAACTATCTATAGTGTAGACTTTATTCGTCAACGGCTAAATCGAGAATGCTCTGTTTTACATCTTTTGTTAATAACATTCGTTGCCATAGAAAGTTCTGAGATTGCAGGGACTATCATATTAATATAGTGGCCCTCCCACCACTCTTACAATAGGGCGTCCTATTCAAAACTTTAGAGATACAACGACTGTTGTAGCCTACCGGCGCACAGTAGGGTATTTGCACCGAAAAGCCGGACAAATAACGATTTTAAAAATTTTGGATAATTCATGATATCATTAACTTTCAAGGTAGTTGAATGACTGAGGAACAATGTCTTAAGGTTCATTTTATCATATATATGCTCATAAAGTAGCGTTCGTCTTCGAAAGTTGAGAGATTTTATTGCACGCGTTTCTTTCGTAATCACTTTCTGATGGCTTGTTCGGTTATTAGCGATTTTTACACATTTTAAGGAAATAATGCAAAGCTTTTTACTACGAAGGCTTTTCAGGTAAGTATATACTACATTCCCAAAGAATAGTTTTTTCTTTGTGATATATATTTGTCCATGTAATTAGTATTAGAAAATAATCAATAATTCGGCAATTTTTCTTATGATTGCAAGACTTCATTAATGATTTTGTTATACTTCCCTGTGAGGCCCCGCGTTCTATTTGGTGCCATTATATTCGGTAAAGATTCGTGAACAAAGTGCAAAAAGAATTGGATCTGACTTGATCTGACTGGATGTTTTATAGCTAATTTAGTTAGAAATGGTTCCTGAGAATTGCAGCGCTCCACGCGCGCCTGTACGTTCGCGTTCGACAGGCCTCCTCTTGAACGCTGGGAACTTCTTTGAAAGAACTGTTTAGATTATAGCATTTGAAATGTTTATGCTATGCTGCAGATAAGACTTCGACTAAATTCTCCGTCTTCTGACTGCATTCAGTTGCAACAGTGAGATTGAAGACGACAGAGCGAAATATTCAAAGGAGATTTTATATACGTATAGCATTTAGTTAAATTTTTTTGTGTGAATTCTATTGTGTGTAGTGTATTTTTTTTAGTTTAAGTATTGTTTTGTGTAGTTTATATTTAGTGCGTGTTAATTATCCTACGTTAAGTTTAGTAGTAGTAAGACTTTCATATTAAAATTCATTTACGCATTGCTGGTAAGTACATTTAATCATGTCAAATGAGACAGATATTTTCTACGACTGTTCTTTAGATGTGAATTATTTAACGGTAATATATGTACGATTAGGTATCAAAATGTCAGTGAACACTTCAGTACAAACTCCGGGCCCATCTGGAATCAAATTAATTACACGACAAGAATTATTCGACATAATGCAGACGCACAAAGATAAAAATATTAGTCAGAAACTGGAATGTCTCGAACAGTTTTTATTAAATCAACAGAATTACACAGAAGAAGAACGTCAAGCATTCAAGCGTAAAATCTCCCATACAAAATCGCAGTTTAAACGTAGATGGTTGTCTGCGCGTTATAAGGAAGATTTATTTAAAAAACAGAATGAAAAGTGGCTTCAGGGAACAATGGAAATTCTCACATCTCAAAGCAGACAATCACAATCAACAAAATCTTTTACAGATTTATCTGAACGCAGCAAGCGAAGAAGAACAGAAGATCTTCGAGAAAATACCAGCGTAGAAAAATTAATATTTGCTACTCAATCAAAGTTAAGAACTTCTGGCCTGGTAGATGCTTCAGTTGTACTAAAGGAAATGGTTAAATCTCCTAAGCGTGCTACAAAATACAGGAAAATTTATTCTAGTAACGTACAGAAAGAAGAAAAACAACTATCAAATATGCAAGCTCTGTCTTTATTTGTTGAAGCAAGACTATCCAGAGAACAATACAATATAATTAGAATGAGTGATAAAAAATTATTTCCCTGTTACAGTTTACTTCAGAAAGCTAAGAAGGACTGTTATCCTGTTCGTGAAGCATATATTGTAACAGAAAATCATGCTGAAGTAAATCTGCAAGATGTGTTGAATCACACGGCAACTCGTCTTTTATTATATTTAAAAGAAGTAGTGAATAATTTAAGTGATAGCGATACCAGTTCATTACAATTAATAAGTAAATGGGGATGCGATGGGTCACAACAAACGCAGTACAAACAAAGATTTTTAATAAGTACTGGTTCCGACTCACATATATTCCAAAGTTCATTTGTACCGTTACAATTAATTTCTTCTACAACTAAAAAAGTAATTTGGCAAAATCCGACACCATCCTCCCCCAGATATTGCCGACCGATACGAATCAGATTTATAAAGGAATCCGTAGACGTAACCAACGAAGAAATAGATTATATGAAGACCAAAATAAATGAATTAAAAGAAACAGAAATCGAAGGAAACACAAATATTTCGATAAAACATGTTTTATTATTTACGATGATCGACGGCAAAGTATGTAATGCTGCTATGAGCATAAACTCCACAATGAAGTGTTTTGTATGTGGTATAACTTCAAAAGACTTCAATAATTTAACAAAAAAACCAATAGTAAACCCAAACTCACTGCAATTTGGTTTATCTATTTTACATGCAAAAATCAGACTTTTTGAGAACCTTTTACACATATCTTACAAATTAACAATCAAAAAGTGGCAAATAAAAAGTAAAGATGAAAAGTATGCAGTGGAACAAAGAAAAAAATACATTCAGGAAGAATTCAAAACTAAAATGGGAATAATAATAGACAGACCAAAACCTGGTTTTGGGAATTCGAATGACGGAAACACTAGCCGCAGATTTTTCGCAAATCACGAACTGTCAGCTGAAATAACGGGGATTGATGTTACATTAATATATCAATTTAAAATAATATTGCAAGTAATATCAAGCAATCAGAAAATTAATATAGAAAAATTTGAAGCATATGCCATGGACACAGCAAAACTGTACATTCGATTATATCCATGGCACCCAATGACTCCCACTACACACAAAATTTTAATACACGGTCCGGTCATTATTGAGAATGCCATGTTGCCGATCGGACAACTCTCCGAAGAAGCAGCTGAAGCCAGAAATAAACATTTCCGTATATATAGAGAAAATTATTCCAGAAAATTTTCTAGAGAAGCATGTAACGAAGATGTGATTAATAGACTTTTGCTCACTTCCGATCCATATTTAACAAGCATACGAAAAACCCCCCAAAAAAGAACACAGCCATTTCTAAAAGAAACAATAAAGGGTCTAGCCGTATAAGCATAGTGAATCGGCCCCAGCAACAATTTCGGTTGATATTTATACCACATAATGCATTTTGCCTAAACAACAATTGTGTGCAATTTCAACCCCCTACCCCCTCTGATAAGGGAGATATGAGGGTAAAACCCAAAACCTTTACCATTTTTTTTCTCGGAAACTATTTAAGATATTTGATCACATTAAAGTGCAAATAGTAGGTATTCATTAGCTGTATATCATATTTTTTTTTCAAAATTTTTATTCGATGGTTAAGGGTTGAAAATTAATAAATAAATTTTTGAAAATGATTTTTATAAACAATCCCTTGGATGACACCCACCGAAAAAATTAAGAATAATCTTTTACTATTTAACTATTATCTGTAAAAATTTCAAGAGTGTCGGATTGGTACATCATAGTTAAAAAAAATAAAACCAATGCAACGCCCTTTCATAAGGCAAAGTCGGCCTGAACGTTAGAGGCGCTCAACCTAACCGACCTACAGGGGAATACGTAGCGCCGACCCGCCACGTTTCTCGTACCAGAAACAGCTCTCAGAAAAGTATGAGCTCTTCTTTCCCTAAATTGTGTGTCAGTTAACAGTCATTTATTTAAATAATATATTAACAATTTAAATTTTTTAATTAAGTTTTCTGGTCCTAACTTTTAACGTCCGTGTTTTCACGGTGTTTCTCGTTTTAAGTATGTGGGAGCCCTAAAAAGAGCTGATTATGTTGTACGTTACAAATGGCACCCTTATATAGATGCAACTAAAGTGTTCCTCGTTTTAAGTATGTGGGAGCCCTGAAAAGGGCTGATTATTAAGCCCTAAAAAGAGCTGATTGTGTTATGTATTGTCAGGTTGAAGTATATGATTTGAAACAGAAAACTCAAAAACATTTTAAAAAAAAACACGCTTGTAAATAAATTTTAATCTTCGTCGCTATTTTCATCAATAACTAGAATAATGTTAGTTTTATCGAATAAGTGAGTTAAAATTTTGGACGGTTTAACTATTCTGGATTTATAACGCGCATGGGATAAATAATAAATGATCGCGACAACGTGGGAGCAACAACCTACCGTTCTGTTACCATTCGGACAATCGCATGCATATTGGTTTATACCCACGTAACTATTAACGTTTGATTTGTATTCTATGTAACAATTGTAAGTTTTACCGTTTATATGTCGCGACCGAACTTTCATTTTTATAATGTTATTGTTTTGTTGTAAATATTGTACATTTAACGCGTCATGTTCGTACATTAATTCCGCAAGATAACGTTTTTACCGCGAGATTTTAAAGTTTGCAAATTCTATCCAATTAACGAGTCCTCTATATTCGGCAACAAGAGGGAACAAGACAGTGGACACTAAAATCATGGACTCAGGATCGTACGCTTTACCCTTTACGATGCATCTATTTACACGCCAATTTAGGCTCCGTGATTGCGTAAATAAAGTATCGGGGCATATAAACCGCATTGGAAAATACACCATTTGTACCATAAAACGCGCTTAACTCTTTTCTGGACACCCATATACTTAAAACGAAGGTCACCTTAATTGCAGCCATTTCCAGGTAGTACTGGTACGCTATAATATAATTAACCCTTTTCAGGGCGATCATATACTTAAAACGAGGAAAACCTTAGTTACAACTATTCACAGGTACCAGCTACAATTTAATTAAAAGTAATACGTACGTGAAAAGGTAAAGACGGAAATAGTTATAGAAGTCTATGTTCTTTACAGCGTTGAATAGAATGATGTTGCAGTTATACCTGTGATACCTTCTTTGACTATTAAAAGGACAACTAATGGCATCTAACACAGTGCCATTGTTCAAGACATGATATAAATCTGTGATTTAGGGCTCCCACATACTTAAAACGAGAAACACCGTGAAAACACGGACGTTAAAAGTTAGGACCAGAAAACTTAATTAAAAAATTTAAATTGTTAATATATTATTTAAATAAATGACTGTTAACTGACACACAGTTTAGGGAAAGAAGAGCTCATACTTTTCTGAGAGCTGTTTCTGGTACGAGAAACGTGGCGGGTCGGCGCTACGTATTCCCCTGTAGGTCGGTTAGGTTGAGCGCCTCTAACGTTCAGGCCGGCTTTGCCTTATGAAAGGGCGTTGCATTGGTTTTATTTTTTTTTAACTATGATGTACCAATCCGACACTTTTGAAATTTTTACAGATAATAGTTAAATAGTAAAGGCTAATTCTTAATTTTTTCGGTGGGTGTCATCCAAGGGATTGTTTATAAAAATCATTTTCAAAGATTTATTTATTAATTTTCAACCCTTAATCATCGAATGAAAATTTTGAAAAAAAAATATGATATACAGCTAATGAATACCTACTATTTACACTTTAATGTGATCAAATATCTTAAATAGTTTCCGAAAAAAAAAATGGTAAAGGTTTTGGGTTTTACCCTCATATCTCCATTATCAGAGGGGGTAGGGTGTTGAAATTGCACACAATTGTTGTTTAGGCAAAAAGCATTACGTGATATAAATATCAACCGAAATTGTTTCTGGGGCCGCTTCACTATGCTTATACGGCTAGACCCTTTATCTAGACTAACCTAACCTACGTATAAATCAAATGTGTTTAATTCCTTGAGAATTAGTAATACAATATAAAACATAACGTAATGTAACTAAAAAAATCGATTTTACATGGTACACCCTATAGAAACGGAAGACGATATTGCTATGGTGTGAACGGCTGTTCGACACTTCACGATGACGGTAGTGTTAGTTACGTGTGTATAGGAAAAATTCTATGTATTGTACGAAAGTTTTTAATTAATATCTCGGAAACTAATAGGAAGCCGAAGATACCACTTTATATTTGGGGTCGTCTACCTGCTCCCAACCAACCCTCCAAATTTCATCTCGATCGGCGACCGGTCGTATTCGGAACTACAGCCACTATTTTTTTTAACAATTTTAAGAAATTTGTTATTTTTTGAAACGATAAAAATATATATTTTAGTAAATTCATTTTTATAGCTTTTTAAAAAATTTCGTTATTTACTCTAATATTAACCGCGGTATTTTATTTTTAACAATGGCCACTTATTTTTTCCTCTCACTGTACATTCGTGTTTTCCTTATTGTATGAAATAAGAAGTTTCTATACTGTACGTATGTTTACGAACAAATAAATGTGTCGTCGGCCGAGACCAACAATGGTGAAAAACATGCACAAGTGCAATTGAGCACGAATGATTTACTGAAACTAGTGATGGAACAAAAGAAACACGTAAGTATACACATATAATTGTGATTTCTCAGCGTGGAATCAACACCCATATGAGTATACTAAATATAATAATTATGTTTATGTTTCATCTTACAGATCACAGATCTAAAGAAAGAGATGAAGCGTCTCAGATATAGTAGAGGAGGAAGAGGCGAAGGAGAAAACAGCGGAGAAAGAGGAGGAAGAGGAAGAGGAGGAAGAGGAAACTTTGGAAAAAATAATCCAATAATTATTTTTAAATAAACTAAATAAAAACAAAGTACTATGGTTTGTTTGTTGCACATCCTATCCTTACTCTCAATTATAATATAAGTAAATAGAATTGTTGAGGAGTGGCTATGCCATCTATCCGCTTCGAGCCTGAATCATGCGTGTAGCGTGGTCTATGGTTACTTTTTCTTTTGTTATCCGCGTCTCAACACGCAGTGGAAACGTGCTAGTTGTATTTAATCTCAAATAATATTAAACTATATCTAATCACACTGATATGCGTGTTTTACTGGTTCGCGGTCCTCTCCCACAAGAATATTATCAATAGATAATTTTTTAATATATAGCTGTGTTTAAAAAATAAAAATATAAGTATTAATAATAAAAAACATAAAGTAAAATAAATACGTATTTAAAAAATAAAAACATATTGAAAACAAACTTTTTTTTTAAATTGGTTGTTTTTATGTATAAAAGAACATAGGTTACAAGTTACATTCCTTGCTTGCTTTACTAACCAAATTAGTAAACGTATTCACGAAGAAATATGTATAGGCATAAACCGAATTCATACTTTTACATGCAGCTAACGCTTGTCTTTTGCCATGATTCCACGTTAGCAGACATTCTCCTTATACGCCACCTTCTAACCACTAGCTGAACTGAATTTGTCACGTGTTATCCACAAAATGGCGGAACTGGTCTTGGGAATGCTTTTACGGGACTACACTTTTCGTCCTTATTTCGCAACAAATGAAGACAAAATAGATCTTAATTTGCAGGTAAGGGTTGTGGCTAGACCGCTGCACTCATGATTTTAATCACAGCACTCTTTTAGTGGCCTAAAAATGCTTCGATTCCGTGACTGCATTTTGTCGATTTTTTCCTCCACTTTGGACGCTTATATTATTAAACATCAACATAATTCCACTAAAACATGAGTGCAGCGGTGTGCATTGGACCTTCCTCTTTCGAATAAGACCTCACCCAGCCCCAAATGTTCTCATATAAGGACGAAAAGTGTAGTCCCGTAAACCCATGTTTAGGCCTATTTTTGCCAGTAAAGTCAACGTGCTCCTATTACACGTGTCTACCCTCTTAACACAACACGTTACCCTTATAGCGCGTGCGTCAGTCTGGTACCAGAACAGTAGATCGTCATTTCGAGCATGTCGGTGACGCGAGCCCATAAGATTTTCTTCTACCGAAAATTGATCAACGCGCCTAAAGAAGTTTTTACTTCAATAATAGAGGTAGAATCTTCATCAGATGAGGATACTATACAAAAAGAGGAAAATTCATTCCAGCAAAAAAATTTGAATCCAAAAATTGTAATTGCTCGAAGAAATGTATAGAACGTATTAATGAAACACAACGTATAGAAATTTTTGATAAGTTCTGGAATATAGGTGATTTTAATAAGCAAAATATATTTCTCTATTGTAATGTTCAACGTGAAACTGTCAATAGAAGAAGGCCTAGAAATAATTCGGGCACTATGAGGGCATATGCTTATAAATTTTACCTG